ATATTTATATAGTCATTCTTAAACAATATTCAAAGGTAAAACTAATGAAAAATACATAAAAATATTGAGAAAGTTATATAAAACATTATTTAAATATCTTTATCAATAGGGTAGGTTAGGTTAGGTTAGGTTATCGGGTTTTGTTCAAGTGACCACCCTCTTTCGAACCCCCTTACCTCCACCCGCTTGAAAATATTTTTTTTATTGAATTTTATTTGAATTATAGTGTATGAAAATTGTTAAAATAATCAACTTTCAACCCCCATAACTTTTTATGGGGGTGAGATCGCCGCAAATTTTTTATGAGGTTTTAGTCAGGTGACCACCCTCTTTCGATCCCCCTTACCCCTACCCCGATCTAACCCCCATAACCATTTATGGGGGTGAGACCGCCACGAACTTTTTATGGTACAGTGGTGGGAGAGACCTCCTCTTTCGATCCATCATCTATACATCATCTGAGCAGTTGTGTGGGTTTTCAATTTTTTCAAATTTGGAGTACTTGAAGATCACTAATTAAAATTAAAGTGCTAATGATGATCTTCAAATATCTTAAATTTCAAAAAAATTGAAAACGCACATACCTGATTCTTTCCTTGTTAGTACAAAACGAAGGGTGTATTATATCGAACACAGTGCGATTCCAGTGGCTAAAAATATTGAGGTGAATCTCTTGAAAAAATGCTTAATGTGCCAAAACAATTAAAATTAGAAATCAAATTTGTAAGGGTGAAATGTCGACTATTTTAAGAAACCACTACTTCGGCTTTGATTTTCCACCGAATCAAAATTCAATATTTAAGGGGGTTGAACGGGTATTTACAATTTATATGTAAAAACAGTATGAATCTTGTACGATCTAGAAATTTGTTTGTTTGTATGTATAAAGACATGGAAAATCTACTGAATTATAAATATCAACATAGGAATTTTCACTTTAACGGCTTATCTTTAGATGCAGTTTTCCATGATGATAAAATGTAACAGGATGTAGATGTTCTAAGTTTATGTAATAAACGGCGAATCACTTTCTACAGGCTTTGCGGTGGGTTTCTTCTCTAAAATGAAGTGATTCACTGTATGATACCAGTAAGATAAAACAAAAATATTAATCATAAATCAGCAAGATAATGCTCTGTTATCTACTGATACGTGCTTATGTTTAATGTTGTATAAACCGAAGCATTCGAGTAGAAGTGTTTGTAAGGGTACTTAGTGGGTTTTAGTGCATTACATATTTGTTATGCGAAATTATTGTAGAAGAAATGGATTTACTGAAAGTTGCTTTGAACATTGACGAGAAGGAGGAATATTTTGAGATAAAAAAAGAATTATCTTTAAATGATACGTTACAAAAAATAGCCGATGACTATCATGTAAGTCCAAATTAAACTGACACATTAGCATTTCCTAACAGAATAGTAAAAACCGCGTCAGATGTGGAATTGTAATAAAAATTGAAATTAGAATAGTAGATACGGAGTTGTTTCAATTGAAAGATTTTGATTAGTTTTGGACATATCACATTAATTACGTCTAGTCTTTTATGAAGATTGGAAAAACTTTGGCGGTTGTTGTAGAACAAACTAAATAGCTCAAACCCCAACGCTAAAACACGACACTTTAGTTGTCCGAAGCACTTTTTGGTAACAAGGTTACCTTCTTCAGGGACTGAAGTGAACTAATCCTAGGGTTAGTTACTTGTAACCGAAAAGTGCTTCGGACAACTAAAGTGTCGTGTTTTGGCGTTGGGATTTGAGCTATTTTGTTTGATGTAGTCTTTTATCTTATGAAAGCAATATTGTGAATTTAGCTGGTTCCTTCCGAAAGTTACGCATTACGCTTTTGGAGCAATCCGAAGGACCTATCAAGTTGTGTTTACATCACAGATGAAAATTTTCACAAAATAAAGAACGGTGATGTTTTAAAAGTGACTGACTCGCTTCAAGTTGTATTGTCCAGAATTTTTAAAAATTTGAAGAGTACTTACTTCAAAGACTGCGGCTTCAGTGAGTTGAAGAACCTCAGTTCTGACGACGGATTTATAAGTTTCTTGGGTGAGTTATCTCCCATTGGGAACTGTCATAGGTTTATCTGAAATTACAATAAAACAAAAAAGTCAAGACCAAAATTACAAGACCAAGATCAAATACGCCAGACTAAACGAAAAGTTATTACTTCCGGTGGATTTATGAGTTAAATTATTTACCATAAAGCAACCCGAGATAAAAATGTTCAGTCTCTCAGAGCCTCTGAAAGCGAGACTCGAGTATCCGTCCCTCATCGAGTCTCTCTGGTGTCGCTGAGAGAGACTGTCAAAAAAACTATTTAGCGTCTCTGAACGAGTGACTTGAGTCGCTCATAGAGAAATCGTCATTTCATATCCAATCTTTGAACGAGAGACTCAAATCTCCGAACGAGAGACTCCAATCTCTGAACGAGAGACTCGAATCTCTCAATACGTGGTGTCTTGATAGACATGGTTAAAATTTTCAACATATTTCAGAGATCCCAGTCTTTCTACGAGAGACTCGAGTCTCTCAATTTTTCAGTTTTATTCATTCAGTCTCTCTGTGAGAGACTCGAATCTCTGAATTAACAATTTTATCGTTCGAGTCTCTCATACAGAGACTGTAAGAGATCCATAAAAACGCCTAGGCAATAACTGAGAGACTGTGAAAGACTGTGAGAGACGCTCTCAGAGATGCTGAAAGACTCTGAGAGACTGAAAATTTTTGTCAAGGGAAGTATCAGGTTAAATGAGCAAGACCAAAATTTAACATACAAGACTAAGACTAACACTATATCAGCAAGACCAAAGCGATGACTAAGACTAGAAGTATTTCAGCTAGATTAAGACCAAGGCCGAATAAGCAAGATCAAAATCAATATCAAGATTTCTCACTATTTTTAATTCTACGATCATGATCATAATCATGAAATAGTGTGTTGGATTTGTAAGCATAAAGGTCGATTCACATTGTTCCGTTTCCATTCTCCATATACCCATATCCATTATGTTGGTAACTGAAAGGAAACGTAATATTCAAATGTGAAGATTTTGTTAAATTGTATTAAATATTTAAGGAATGGATTTGTAATGGAAACGGACAGTATGGTGAGAATCGACCAGAGATGCACCGGATCGGGTACCGGCGGGTTTTCTATTAAATACCACCCTCACCAACGTCCCAAACCCGCTGCTATCATCCGGTACCCAGCCGGATACTAAAAACAGTGCCGGATCCGTTGGGTAGCAGATCCAAACCGGGTATCCGGTCTATCTCTAGAATCTACCTTTCTCAAAACTTTTTACGCATTAGCAATAAAAAACAAGCATTCTAGAATATTATTGTAATATATATAGGTATGAATCCGAATATGATTTACCAAAATTCAATAAAACTGTTAAGTATTTGTGTTTAAGTGTCAAAACACCACAACAAAGGAAACTGAACTGATCAAAAATGCTAAATCATTAATAAACATAACTTCTTTTAGTGGAATCCAATAAAGATACTGAAATTCTTACAATATTGGAATCTGAAGATCTAATCCCTTCTCATATGACAGCATGCCTCGCTGTTCTCTTTACCTTATTAAGAGGTGGCTACGTAAAGGAAATTTCACATGGTGTAGTCGCACGAATTATAAATTTTGTCAAAGCGGCTGAGCCAACTTTAGCTGATATTCAGTATGGATTGATTGTTTTATGTCAAATTTTATACATGAAAAAACGAAGTTTCGCCATACCGAAGGAAATGGTAAGTACGTAATGTTAGGTATCATCTTCATAAGATCGTCAGTCCTAAGACAGGTTGGACATGCACCTCCGCTCCTTCCTATCCTGAGCAAATCTTCGCAATTCCCTAAAACTAGAATATCCCAGATTCTTTACTATTTGCGAACAGTAATTTAATCTAGGCCTACCTCTACTCCTCTTAACTCGGTTCAATTCTATTTAATCTATACCTAGTGAACTTTTTGACCAACCTAATTACAAAAGTTGCCCATGTGTTTCATTCCCACCAGCCAATAATGCTGGTGGGCGGGCAGTCCCTCCGGACTACGCCGGAAGGTAGGGCGAAAGACCCTCTTCAGCTTCCTTTCGGGAATCGTGGGAATGGGTGGGCGGTGGTTCGGGTGAGAAAGTTGAGACGGACGAAATTAAGACAGAAGAGAATGAAAGATTACCTGTGGAATATTGGTCCAGCATTTTCCTAAGAGAGAGATAGCAGGAAATTATAGAAAAACTTGGACGTCTTCCCGAATGCTAAAGAATGGTCTAAACCTCTAGGCTATGCTGCTATGGCATCAGAGACTGGAACCTGCAGTTCCTCCACATGAATCAAATAATCCAAAATAGAACCAACTATAAACCACGTAATACAAACAAAGGCGACCCCCCATCAGGAAGATAGATTCTCACAAGTACATCGTGGACGTTCCCTAACCAAAATCAACGTTTGAGAAGAAGCCCCATCCAACCTACCGACTTCTGGGGTGTGAATATATATGAGAAGCTGAACAATATTAGAAATCCATTTTGAACTACCTATGTGGTAATTGCAAGTTCCAACAAATGCAGTTGGAGAGAGTTTTCCATTTTTCCGATCCAGATGTCAAAAGAAAGTACTGACAACAATATGACCGCTCCAAGAATTTAAAACCAATAAAAATATGACCCTATATCTGAGTTTGTTGTTATTATTTGACACGGGACTATTAAAATCTGACGTTACATTAGAGTTGTCGTTATAGCCGATGTTGTTGTAACCATGTTCGTATGTAGTTTTTTGTTAATCAACTGAAGTGAATCTAAAAAATTTTGTTTTGTACTCGGGCAGCCTTCAGTCAAGGGAAAGTCCTGATTTTTAATGTCAGAACTGCTAACATATTTTTGATAGAGTTTCGTTGAATTTTAGATTTTTCTTCAACTGAGTATAGATGATATAATTCCTTACGTTTGCTCTGATGCTTTACCAAATCTTCAGCTCAACGCACTGATGCTAATTAACGCGCTTACTAAATATTCGAAAGAAGACAAAAGACGAGAAATTATAAAAGAACTGAATAAAACCCAAAATAGAGATTTTATTTACAATGGTCTTATTAAAGGCAAAAAGGTTGCACCTGATATAGCCCATCAATTGTACGTTTATCAAACATGCATGCTCAAGTAAGTACCTAACTATAAATTGTTCCAAAGAAAACAATGAGACAATAAATTAAGTCTAAAATTTATCAATTGAGGTTGCACTTTTTAACAACAAAATGTAACTAGAAACAGTGCTTCAATAACACAAAAATTTTAAATATGAAAGATTGAAGTTGATAGGTAAATATTATTATTTATTAAACAAATCCGACGTTTCAGTCAGGGTTTTCGAGCGTTTCCAAGGGAATAATTCAGTTCAAAAAGAGGCAACCAATATCAGTACCTTCAATTGAACCAACAGTTTGTACTTTTAAAATTAAAAATATCATAAAACTCATTGTTCAAAAGAAGATGTCGATGTTGGTTCCTGAAGAAGTTCAAAAATCTTGGGCGAAACGTCGTATCTTCTTATATTGATAAGGAAAAGACTTTATTTCCTTCTTTTGGAAATAATAGAGTTATCAATTTGCAAGCAAGTGCGAAAATTAAATCGTACAATTAGCAAATAACTTTAAACATGCAGAAGAAGAAGATGGACATATTCTGATAACGTTATTGAATTTATCTTAAAATTTGATGGCATATTTAGGTCCATCTTTACAGAATATCTTTACTTTTATTTTGTCCCAAATTAGTACCTATTTCATTGCAGCATTTATTCTGAATTATTAAGAGACACCGTGAACGTCGACGAAACACGTGAATTTTTACCATATCCACTCATGACTACAAGAAAATCAAGAAATTCAGACGATTACACTGAAGAAAATGCTTCTACAGTTAGCTGTAGTTCGGTTTATTCAAATGATAGGTAGTTGATCACATTTTGTTGTTTGAATCGAATCAAATTGTAAAAATAACTACGTAATTAATTTGTTTAATTGTAGATCGTCATTTGGAAGTATCCTTAACGACAATTTTGGAGCTTATTCGTCTGATGACCAACGTACAGAAGATTCTACAACATCTTCCACATGCCGCTTTACCTATCAAGCATTACGTAAGTACATCAATGTTTACTTTTATTACAAGTCTTCTTTTTTCTCTCTCGTGTAGAAAATGCCGGGCTTGACAACAGGTCCAAATCTAGGACCAGTAGTGAGAAGCCAAGAATAGGCTTATCAATACTGGTTCAAAGTTTGTGTAAGCTAGGTACAATTAAGTTTCGTTAAGTTTGGGCCAATACTGGACAGTGAAGTATGAGTTTGTCCATACTGGCTCAAAGTTCCGCCAAGCTTTGAGTGTCAGGGCTACGTATATTAACGTTTCGTCAAGTTTGCTTCAATACTGGGGTAGCCAAGAATTGGTATGCCAATAATGACTCAATGTTTGGGCAATCTTCAAATACCACGGCTAGGTACCTTCAGGTTTTGTCAAGTTTGGTCCAATACTGGACAGTCAAGTATAGGTTTGTCAATAGTGGGTCAAAATTCCCTTAATCATTGAGTAGCAGGGCTAGGTATATTAATGTTTTGTCAAGTTTGGTTTAATACTGGGACAGCTAAGAAATGGTATGCCAATAATGGTCCAAGTTTGGGCAATTCAAATTCCACGGCAAGGTGTATTAAAGGTTTCGTCAAGTTTAGTCCAATACTGGACAGTTGAGTATGGGTTTGTCAATACTGGGTCAAAGTTCCGTCAAGCTTTTCAGTGTGAAGGCTAGGTATATTGACGTTTCGTCAAGTTTGGTCCAATACTGGGCCAGCTAAGAATTGGTATGCCAATAATGATCCAAAGTTTAGGCAATCTTCAAATATCACGGTTAGGTACATTAACGTTATGACAAGTTTGGACCAGTACTGGGACAGCCAAGAATTAGCGTGTCAGTAATGGTCCAAAGTTCGGTCAACCTTCAAATATTAACGCTATGTAACGTTTCGTCAAGATTGGTCGGATACTGGGCAGTCAAGTGTGACTTTGTCAATACCTGACCAATGTTTGGTCATTCATCGAGTGTTAAGGCTAGGTATACATATAAACGTTTCGCCAAGCTGTATCCAATACTGAGCAACGAAGTATTGGCCAAAACGGAAAGCGACACAGTTGTCCAATCTTGGATTAATTCTGTTCGTCAAGTCTTGGTATAATATTAGCTACCGAATATTGATTTAATATTGTTCACGAATTCTTAGCCCAATATTGGCTACCCAATTTTGGGTTAATATTGTTCATCAACTCTTGGTTCAGCATAGGCTGTCCAGTCGTGGGTGCTAACCAGGTTTGGAATGAGGTGACGAATCAGGCATTTGTCGCGCTTAGACTAATATTAGCAACAATGTTCGTCGAGATAACAACTATAGAAACACTCAATTTGGACAAATTAATAGATACTTTTGCATCTTTAAATAAAAACGTCCCATAGATTTCATTATATGTAAAGTGTCTTGGACAAATGATACGAAAACGAAATGAAACGAAACATAAAGTAATCTTTTCTTCATTCAGATATATTCAGAAATGTTTTACAAGAAGACTATCAGTTACACAGAGAAATTTATTAAATGCTATCATACCTTTTCTTCTTTCCCATAAAATAATTTATACATTTATTTTTTTTTTATTCTTAATATAGGCTATTATAAAAAGAAATATCCTAAGAAATTCTATAATTCTCAAAGCAAAGAAAATGGATTAGGACAGGGGATAATACTCACAGCCGATAAGTAAGTACAAACTGTGCCGGGCGCATTCGCCAAAGTTTAAATATACCTACATTAACACACGTTACTATAAGATTGTTTATCGCTGATATTTGATCCAAATACGAATTTATTATCTTTCGAAATTTATTCATAGGAGTTTATATAAATACAAATAAAGAATTTAAAACGATTTTTCAATTCATCTATTGATTGTTACATATAAAGTTGAAGTAAAACAATTAGTTTAAGTGCAGATTTTAAACACTAACATATTTTTATACACACTATTTTTAACCAAATTGTAAAATTAGATCCCAATTGAAGATAAATCATCAATTAAACTTATTTTAAAACAACAAACTAAAAAATCAATTCAATTAAAACATGTAGACCCATTTTAGGTCTCGTTGAACCGACAGTTGTTAGTGAACTATAATCAACAACGAGCGATTTTCACTTTTACAGCAAAATTTAAGATATCAGTATTTAAACTAGTTTGATAAAGGTCATAAAACATTGGTGACCACAACTTTTTAATTTCTTCAATTTTTTTTAGTTTATCTTCGTATGTAGGTAACAACCTATCTTTAACAAAACATCTTTTGAATAGAAAAATCGTTTTTAATTCAATTCTTCAGTTATAATATGTATTTTTGTTTTCTAAAAATTAATTAATTAATTAATAACGGAAGATAGGTATTACAATGACTCAGTTTCCACCGTAATCGAGTTAATAATTTGGGTTAAGTCATCATAATGGTTTTATAAATCGATGGAATTATAAAAGCTATCGGTAATTTTTCCTGAAAGGATTGATTTATGAGCTTCCTGATTTTGTAGTTTTACTAAAATTCTACTTTATCTATAATTCCCTACTTATAGGAATTGACCAATTATTTTGTGACTACAGGATTTTCATCTTTTCTTTTTTAGAGTTTTAGGTGTTATTATAAAAATACTCGATATTGGTCACGAACCAAACAAAACAAGTGAATTTTTTCACCCCTTGCTTTTTAACACCTCCCTCCGGGCGCCCTTTATATACGAACTGTTTTCGAGAGCCATGGCAAAAGTTTCGAAAACTAGAGAAGAAATGAAGGCATACACTTCACGGGATTATGAAAAGGCAAGTTTAAATGAAGAAGAATAAAACTAAAAATAAAACATAAGCATTAGGGTGCTTCAAACAAAATTTTTAATTACCCTTACCCTCTTACCCCCTCAAATGTTTCTATTTGATGTAAAAAAAATCCTCGCCAAATATGAGCCCTATAGCTCAAATCTAAAGGGTCGCTATTTTTATTTTAGTTTCCCATTTAATTAACATAGGAAAAATTCTTTTTTGTTTTAAATTGAATTTACACATAATTTACGCAATTTTTTCCAAAAAACCGTTTCATATTCTCAAAGTTGAGTCTTTGAGCTTTACAAAACTCTAAGACAAAGTATGATTATCTTTACAAAAAGACTAGTTACAGCCACTTAAAAATTACTAAATTTTGAAATTTGAAAAAATAGCCTGCAATTATTTTTCTTTTTGCATAATCCTCAAGATTTTTAATCAAACTATTATTATTATTAACGTAGTTTTAATAGAAGTTATAAATAAATAATTGCCTAGAGCTATAGCCCAGTGGCGTTTACTGTTAAATTAACTGTTATAATTAACATAAACTGGGTTTATTTTTAATTATCTAAATATTCATTTTAAGACTGAAATATTCCTGTAACATGTATGTTGTAGATTTTTATTGTGTTAGAAAAAGGAATTAGACTTACCCTTGAAAAGAAACCCACAACTTACGAGGAATTGAAGATATACCTGAGCTCTGTTACGTATAAAATTGTATCCGAACAATGGGAGGTATGATAATAATAATTTTTTTTTGTTAAGATTCGTAATAAATTAACAAATTAAACTTTTGTCAACAAAAACACAGAAAGAAAAGAGTTTGGAATGGAAGAATTTGCTTGAACATCATCCTAGTGTACTCGATATGAGAATGAAAATGAAAGAAGAAATGGAAAACCTTATCTATAAGCAACGGATAGGAGTTGTTCAGAGAGGAGGTATATTTCCAAAAATTCCTGAAAAGGTAAGGTCATACAATAATTTGTTTCTGAAATAAGTAGCAAGCTTGTAGGAGGTCATAGGGCAATATAGAACAAGAAAATTAAGTAAATCTTTAGTGGTCTGAAAATCCGCTGTTTTCAATAAAAACGTATTTGAAAGTACAGTCCGGCCTTGGTAGGATCACGCAAGGAAATATGACATTGCATCGGCGCATTTCATCAACTGCAGCATCTATGTTGTACAAAAATTTCTTTTGTATATTGTGTTATTAATACCATGTCGAGATGCAGGTATACTTTATTTAGTACTGCATACCATCAGCGATGAACAAAGTAGTCATTTAATTAAGTGTTATTGCAATGGGCGTCTAAAGATTATTATCTGTCGTAGCATAATAATATTTACTTTATTAGACGTTCCACAACCGTCACTGTTTACATTTTTCATCGATCTAGTTGCCTAGTTGTTATCGCAATTTCTCTATACGTCGAGAATTCACGGCCAGGGTCGGCTTCGGATTGCAACTGTTTCCGTCCTGAGTTACCTGACTATCGAAAATCTGTGACTTGTTCCAGCTTTTGGGCTCCTTTTTTTAAATTATCTCTAACTCTACTTTGTTATACCATTCGCAAATCAAATCATGACAATCCTTAGTCCTTCTACGGCTATCCCTAAACGATTCGGCCAATAACCAGAACATTCGAAAACATCTAGAATAAAGCGAAGTTGAACTTTGGGCAAGAGAAAAGAAAATTTTGTTCCCCAGTGTGGTAATAAATACGTATCTTGCTTACAGAAAAATAAAAATAAAAGTTTTTTCCTACGACTGTCGGAGAACAGAAAAACTCTTTATTGGGGAGAGTGGAATGAATTCCAGAAAGAACAGCATCTTACAAAATCATTTGCGGTTTCCGACATTAAATATGTCATTATAGGAAAAGCGTGTCCTCATTTTAAGGATAACAGGTGATAATGAGACTTGTTTTTGATCGTACAACAATACATCGTTTTCTTTCTTTTGCAGTGTAAAAGATTACGAACGAGTATTTTCTATAACTTTTTCGGATGATATAGAAATTATCAATTGTGTGGCCAAAAGTAAAGACATGTGCAACATTTGGATAGACGCTCTCTATTTACTTATGGGTTGGTTCATACAAAATAAATAAAATTTACCGTAAACTACGTACAACGCAATATGTTTCACAGTTTCCCATTTTCCATTATTTATTTTACAAACAATTTTTATCATAATTTAATAAGAATTCCAATATCAAAATTGGCTTGTGTTTTGACTAAAGCATATTGGTTTTGAGTCCTGTTGATATTTGAATGTAGTTTTATTGTATCTCACAAGGGGCTGTTCATAAACCATATGGTTCTGAAAGAGGTGTCGGGGGTCTAGTAAAACACTATTCTGAGCCATATGCGAGGGGTGTATGCTAATACTTGACATCATGACCATTTGTTGTTTAAGACTTTTGTATTTTCAGTAGAAGATGTCGTATCTCCTGTCATGAAAAGGATAAAAGAATGCCTAGCTTTAAATTTTACTGTTTTTGATGGCTTTGAATAAACAACTAAAATAAGATCAAAATTTCTATGAAATTTTAATTTTAATGACTGTTAAAGGACTAGGTTGTTTGGGGGGGGTCCAAAGATAAATCCATGGTATGAGTGAAATGGGGAGGGTCAAAAAGTGGCTGAAATATTGACATATGGATTATGCACAGTTCCTAAGAGGTAGTTAAACAATAAGGAAGATGGAAAATTAATTAATTGTTACATATTTTAATCAATATCAATATCAATGTCGGTCTTTTAGGAGTAAAAAAGAGAAGTGAAAAGTACGCAAAAGATTTGAAAATGTTGACTGACATGCAATGTACCATGAATCTGCTCGAATTACAGGAAGTTCCAATACCTTTCGAAGCTCCTGCTGTACCACCTCCACCTGGTTCATTACCTTTCTAGGTCTATGTACCATACGTATGCTAGAATTGGAAAAAATGATACACAATAGAAAGAGAAAACTGTGTACGTCTGTTAATTATCTGTTTTTTTTTAATTAGATACGAGTTATTATTAAATAAAGTTTACAAAATAAATTCAACTTTCTCATTAATGGAAGAATCAGCAACTTTTCCTGTCTTGCCTACTGTTTACTTAATAATTTTTATTAGCTTTTGCACGTAAGATTTTGTGGATTCTTTGAGATATTGTTGTTGAGGTTGGAGCAGGGGCGGACTAAGGTCTAGGCAACCAAGGCACGTGCCTAGGGCCCGTAATTTTGAAGTCCGAAAATTACGTTTTTAATTTTTTAATTTTTTTCCTGAAGAAGTTCAAAAATCTTGGGCGAAACGTCGTATCTTCTTATATTGATAAGGAAAAGACTTTATTTCCTTCTTTTGGAAATAATAGAGTTATCAATTTGCAAGCAAGTGCGAAAATTAAATCGTACAATTAGCAAATAACTTTAAACATGCAGAAGAAGAAGATGGACATATTCTGATAACGTTATTGAATTTATCTTAAAATTTGATGGCATATTTAGGTCCATCTTTACAGAATATCTTTACTTTTATTTTGTCCCAAATTAGTACCTATTTCATTGCAGCATTTATTCTGAATTATTAAGAGACACCGTGAACGTCGACGAAACACGTGAATTTTTACCATATCCACTCATGACTACAAGAAAATCAAGAAATTCAGACGATTACACTGAAGAAAATGCTTCTACAGTTAGCTGTAGTTCGGTTTATTCAAATGATAGGTAGTTGATCACATTTTGTTGTTTGAATCGAATCAAATTGTAAAAATAACTACGTAATTAATTTGTTTAATTGTAGATCGTCATTTGGAAGTATCCTTAACGACAATTTTGGAGCTTATTCGTCTGATGACCAACGTACAGAAGATTCTACAACATCTTCCACATGCCGCTTTACCTATCAAGCATTACGTAAGTACATCAATGTTTACTTTTATTACAAGTCTTCTTTTTTCTCTCTCGTGTAGAAAATGCCGGGCTTGACAACAGGTCCAAATCTAGGACCAGTAGTGAGAAGCCAAGAATAGGCTTATCAATACTGGTTCAAAGTTTGTGTAAGCTAGGTACAATTAAGTTTCGTTAAGTTTGGGCCAATACTGGACAGTGAAGTATGAGTTTGTCCATACTGGCTCAAAGTTCCGCCAAGCTTTGAGTGTCAGGGCTACGTATATTAACGTTTCGTCAAGTTTGCTTCAATACTGGGGTAGCCAAGAATTGGTATGCCAATAATGACTCAATGTTTGGGCAATCTTCAAATACCACGGCTAGGTACCTTCAGGTTTTGTCAAGTTTGGTCCAATACTGGACAGTCAAGTATAGGTTTGTCAATAGTGGGTCAAAATTCCCTTAATCATTGAGTAGCAGGGCTAGGTATATTAATGTTTTGTCAAGTTTGGTTTAATACTGGGACAGCTAAGAAATGGTATGCCAATAATGGTCCAAGTTTGGGCAATTCAAATTCCACGGCAAGGTGTATTAAAGGTTTCGTCAAGTTTAGTCCAATACTGGACAGTTGAGTATGGGTTTGTCAATACTGGGTCAAAGTTCCGTCAAGCTTTTCAGTGTGAAGGCTAGGTATATTGACGTTTCGTCAAGTTTGGTCCAATACTGGGCCAGCTAAGAATTGGTATGCCAATAATGATCCAAAGTTTAGGCAATCTTCAAATATCACGGTTAGGTACATTAACGTTATGACAAGTTTGGACCAGTACTGGGACAGCCAAGAATTAGCGTGTCAGTAATGGTCCAAAGTTCGGTCAACCTTCAAATATTAACGCTATGTAACGTTTCGTCAAGATTGGTCGGATACTGGGCAGTCAAGTGTGACTTTGTCAATACCTGACCAATGTTTGGTCATTCATCGAGTGTTAAGGCTAGGTATACATATAAACGTTTCGCCAAGCTGTATCCAATACTGAGCAACGAAGTATTGGCCAAAACGGAAAGCGACACAGTTGTCCAATCTTGGATTAATTCTGTTCGTCAAGTCTTGGTATAATATTAGCTACCGAATATTGATTTAATATTGTTCACGAATTCTTAGCCCAATATTGGCTACCCAATTTTGGGTTAANGGCCCGGAATTACAATGTTGTTGGAGTGTTTGAAATGATTAGGATTTATTACATTAAATCCAAAATAAAATCACTAAGCGGTCCATTTTATGTTTTTATTTTTTAATATAATAACAAACACATTTGAGCATATTGTTAGTTATTACGTAGATTGAAAAGGATTATAATTTTCCAATCCAACAAGCTTCAGGCTCATTTCCCACAACGTTTTGGCCTTGCTTTCGTCTTTTGCATGAGGTGCCGGTTCGGCAACATCACAATCTTTGTAGTACAATCCAGTTTGACCCTTTATTCTTTCATCAACAGAACAATAAATTGACGTTTGAGCTCCTTGTTCCGGGCTCTTCATAAATATGGAAAACAAACGTAAAAATTGCCTCACACCAAGAAAATAAGTTTCATTCATGTGACGACCCAGTTCCGTTTTTATAACACCTGGATGAAGACTGTACACACTGACACCGGAAATATGACGTTCTACAATCAAATAAAAAAATATACAAGGACACATGTCTATATACAGTGTGGCCCATAACCTAATCAGTGCTTTAAAAATAGAAATACTCAAATTGGAGCGGTTTCATTGGTTATTTAAAACCATGATAGGTTTTAGAGGAGGTTGCAATTTATCATATTTAATTATCCTATTATTCGTTTAAATTTCATTTGAATATCTAAATATTATTTGATTGAATATTTACATATTGAAATATTTCAATATCCGAAATCTTCATATTTATAATGATTTGAACACTTACCTAATTTTGAGGGAATTACAACTTTAAAAATATTACATTTGATAAAAAAATTGGAACTTACAGGAACTACATACAAACACTTCATAAGGTACCAAGTTTTTATGCTTAAAATGGCGTTCATAGATAAGATGGCGTTTAAGTATACAGATATTTCGATATTTAGAAATGTTGAGTAATCATATGTATATTTGGATAAGTATTTGAAACTTTAAAAGTAATTGGATTTTTGGATTGATTACTTAAGTACATATTTAANCCAACACAACACGGGTCCTATTGTATACACAAAAAATACAACTGAAAAATATATATATTTTTTCGGGAAGGCTTACCAGCAATAAACAATAGACGAAAGACTTTATTAAAAACAATTATTATGTCAACACGGTTATACTACAGACATATAAAAATATGTATTAACATTAAAATATAGTTATTATCCTACAAACTATATCATACTTATAAATAAATAAGTAACCTCATGACTAATATGAGTAATAATTTATATCAATTTAAAATAAATGCCAAACTTATTTTTAAGATACTGAATATATAACAATTAGATGGATTAAAAAATATGGAAAGAATCTAGTTCACGATATTAATTATCACTAATGGATATTTGTGCATGTTTGTATACAATAGAAGGTCTTATCATAACTAGAATAGTGGGTTACAACATTATAGTTTATTAGATATTAGGTTTTTGCAGAGCGTTATCATTATTTTAGTGTTCCATTTTTGAATTTTTCAACTACAAAATATGCACAATGATTCAAACAAGTTGTAGGTAAATTATTTTTTGCGAAGCAACTTTACTTCTCATTAGGATGCTTTATTTTAGAATAATTCAGAGTTCTTTAAGAATCAAAGTGAAGTTTCAGCTTAAACTTCAACAGTTGCACCTCAAAATGTCAAAGCTGCAGCAGTTTCAACTAGAGTTTTAGCGAATGTAGCTCAAGTTTCAACTTGAACTTCAACAGTTGCACGTCAAGATGTCAAGGCTGCAGCAGTTTCAGCTCGAGTTTCAGCGACTGTAGCTCAAGTTTCGGCTTGAAACTTGAACGGTTGCACCTCAACATGTTAAAGCTACAGTAGTTTCAGTTCGAGTTTCAGCTACTGTATCTCAACTTTCGGTTTGAACTTCAACGGTTGGACCTCAAGATGTCAAAGCTGCAGCAGTTTCAACTCGAGTTTCAGCGACTGTAGCTCAAGTTTCAGTCTGAACTTCACCGGGTGAACCTCAAGATGTTAAAGCTGCAGCAATTTCAGCTCGAGTTTCAGCGATTGTAGCTCAAGTTTCAGCTTGATCTTCAACGGTTACACCTCAAGAGGTCAAAGCTGCAGTAGTTCCGGCTCAGTTAGCTTGGGCTGTAGCTATTTAAGTACGAGCTTTTGCGAGAAGCGGCCGTTTCAGCTTCAACGATTGCAGCTCTGGTTGTTTGAAGTATAGCGGTTGCACCTTAAGGACGTAATTCAAGTTTAATCTGCGACAGTTTCAGCTTGAGCTTCTGCGATTGCTGATTAAGCTACAGCAGTTGTGGTTAGAGCTTCTGCAATTGCAGCTTGAGATGCTGAAGTCACAGTGGTTTCGGCTTAAGCTTCTTCAAAAGATGCAATTTCTGTTGCTTAACATGAGTCGTTTCAGCTCGCGCTTCAAGAATTGTAGCTCGGGTTGCTAGAAGTATAGCAGTTGCAACTTAAGATGCTTAAGCAGCTTGAGATGGTTAAGTCATAGCCGTTTTGGTTTAAGCTTCTTCAGAGGGCACAATTTAAGTTGCTTACCATGAGCAGTTTCAGCTAGGGGCTTCAAGGATTGCATCTCGGATTGCTTTAGCTACAATGGTTGTAGCCCGAGCCTCTAGGTTTGTAGCTTGAATGTATAAGTCATAGCGATTTCAGCAGGATCTTAAACAGACGTAATTTTGAAGTTGCTTTATTTTGCGGCTCGAACTTCAGCGATTGCAGCTCATATAGCATAATTGACCTACTTCTCAATAACGAATATGTTTTCGGACAAGATACTTATCATTTTATTGTTAATGATTCGGTAATTATTCAACAGATAAAGAAATGGTAAATATATTTTATTTTACAATTCCGTAAAAAAAGAGCATGAGGCATATTTTCTCCAAATCATTTTCGGAGTATCACCTAAACATCAAGGCACACATATTCGGGTATGATTTATTATCAAATGAAAATTTTAAAAATCAGGGTACAGTTGTCTTCTTTTTCTTAATACGTTTTATTAAAGGTTATACGCGATAATATTAATTTGCCTTGAATGGATTGTAATCTTCGGGAAGATTTACAAGTTTCCAACTTTGTTCCCACAATTTTTTCGCGTCTTCCATATTCTTTGCGGCATTTGTGGGTTCGATTGCTTCACAGTCTGAATAATACAACCCTGTCTGTTTCTCGGCTTTCTCATCCACGGCGCAATAGATACTCGTTTGGGCACCTTGCAAGGGTGTCTTCATGAACCAGCTCAAAAGGTACTTCCACACGAAGTTTATTCCTCTAACGTAGGTGGAATCCAAGTGTCGTCCCAATTCGGTGTCTATAACACCTGGATGAAGGCTGTACACCGTCACATCCTGTATACCAGCTTCTACAAAGGAACACGTTAACATCAAAAATTGTAACTTCAAATTACTGCAACAAAAATCAAAGCAAGGAGTAGAAATATTTGGAGTAATGTCGCATTTTAAATTAATGAGTACCCACTTGAATATCTCCTTCAGGACAGTCGTCAATTCAAGAAGTATTGGGTTGTTCGGAAAGTCATTTCGTTTTTTCCCGACAGAGGATTTAATTGTATTCCTTTGCACCCAACTTCACATTTAAGCCGTATAATTTTTATATGCTTTGAGAGCTCATATAGCAAGGCTTGTGTGTGAAAAATTCCAATTAATTCTATGCAGTAGTTTTTGGTTGGTGCCCTTTTAAATATGGAGAGCGATAAGCAGCATTTTCGACATATCTTACTGTTTTACTACAGAAAGGGTAAAAATGCTGTTCAAGCCAGAAAGAAATTGACTGATGTGTATGGAGAAGGTGTGTTGACAGTACGCCAGTGCCAGAACTGGTTCGCTAAATTTCGATCCGGCAATTTTGATGTCGAAGATGCACCACGTTCGGGAAGGCCGGTTGAAGCTGATAAAGACGCGATAAAGGCATTAGTTGATGTGAACCGGCGAATAACAACACGTGAGATCGGATTGAGGTTAAATTTATCAAATTAAACAGTTTATGACCACTTGAAAGGCCTTGATCCGTTTTTGAAGCGCATCATCACTGGGGACGAAAAATGGGTTGTATACAACAACGTCAAACGCAAGAGGTCATGGAGCAAAAAAGATGAACCGGCTCAAACCATTTCCAAAGCCGATATTCACCAAAAAAAGGTGATGCTGGATTTTAAGGGAATCGTTTTTTTTTTGAGCTTTTACCGGATAACACAACGATTAATTCGGAAGTCTACTGTCATCAGCTGGACAAACTGAATGATGCACTTCAACAGAAAAGGTCAGAACTAATCAACAGGAAAGGTGTAGTGTTTTACCAACACAACACTAGACCTCACACAAGTTTGGTCACTCGCCAAAAGCTTTTACAGCTTGAATGGGATACAATGCTACACCTACTATATTCTCCAGACCTGGCACCATCGGATTATTATTTGTTCCGGTCACTCCAAAATTTTTTAGACGGTAAAACCTCCACCTCAAATGAGGAGGTCAAAAACCTCCTGGATCAGTTTTTTTGCCAGCAAAGACCAAAAATTTTATGAGCGTGGAATTATGCTACTACCAGAAAGATGGTAAAAGGTGTTACACCAGAACGGTCAATATATAATTTAATAAAGTATTTGTTTATTATACGAAAACTGTCTTTCATTTCCACAAAAAAAAAACGAAATGACTTTCCGAACAACACTTAACTTGTACAAAATTGTTGAGTTCGGAAGAGGACTTATAATTTGTCTTTAATCTTAATGTTCAAGACCATTTGAAACGTAGCCATTTGTAGCTGTTTTGTTTTGAATATCTTCAGAGAGTAATTCAACTTCAATGCACTAAATGACATTGAATAATCGGAAAATTGTAATGGAAAATAATTCGATATTAAGGGTCAAGGTTACCTTGCACCTGCCGACAATTTTACATAAATCTATTTTCCATTAAAATTTATTACTTCCTTAATATCCTACATTACAATCAGTGCTCTGTTGTTGTAATAACTTCTGAATAACATTCGAAGAAACAACTTCCAGTAGGAGCCAAAAATTGGGGATTCTGTTTAAAAAAAATTGATTTGATCTAGATCTGACCTTAAAGTTAAAGTGATGGTCGAATTGTAGGTCACTATCCATTATTTCCCTCCAAAGCCAACAAGTTTTGCAGAGATTATTTTTAGATTAGTGTTTTCCCGGACGAGATATTCAGATGAGTATTTTAAAATGGAACCGCTAGAAGAACACTGTATAGGCAGTTAGTTGTAATTCTAAAAAATTATAAAAATGTGTATATAAAAGGCATTAATGAATCTATTACAAAAACATCTAAAAGTTTGATGAATCTATAAGTCATACAACATAATGGAAATGTAAAAAATTTACAGATGAAATTGCGGAAGTCATGTGTGGTATACTGGCATGCACTGATACATGATTGTAAAAGGAAAAATGAAATATAGATTTGTTAATTTTATTTACACTACTTTCTATTTACAGTCGGTATAACTTTTAATAAATTATCAACTAATTGGTAAACATTATTAACATTTATGTTGAACCCAAACTGAAAACAATATTTTACGTAACCATTAAAGTTTGAGAAATAGTTTTTAAATAGATATTCACTTTTTTAACCCAAGCCTACAAAAACAACCAAAAACCTACAAAGAAAAATACACCAAATACAAGTACCAAACATTAAAACCTTTATTTAATCTAACAACACACTAACATGTTAACCTTTATCTTAATTTATACATGTGTATAAAAACACTTGTACTTGGGTATTTCACAAATTGAATTGATCCATGTGTTCAAGTCCCACTAGTTTCGAGCTTTCTTCCCACAATTTCTTGGCATCGTCTATATTTCTAGCTCTGCTAGAAGGTGAAGTCTTCTTGCAATCCGAATAGTACAGCCCCGTTTCTTTATCTAACGACTCATCAACTGAACAATATATCGATGTTTGGGCACCCTGAAGGGGGCTTTTCAAAAATATACTTTTGCTGAATAAGAAACTTGAACCAAAGCAAACAGTCTGATCCAAGTGCCTACCAAGATCGGTTCTGATGACTCCCGGGTGCAAACTGTATGCAGTAACGCCATGTAGATTCTTCTCTAAAATGTTTTATATTAATAAGCATTACACACAAAATGAAAATAAACTAAAACAATCGGTTCGAATGGCTCATTCACAAAATTCAACTCCAACGATGTATGGTTTAGTTTAGTAATTTAATAAAAGCATGACGTTAATGTGAAAATGCATTCAATTTTTGTATATTATAAGTGACCTTAAATTAATAAGAAAAAATTGTTGCTGCTGTAACACCTCCGCCGGGAATCGAACCCGGAACCGGCTCCAGACTAAAGTCGCTCCCAAAATTGTTTTATCGATTTCCGGTCAATCTACATAATAGAATTAGATATTAGAAGGTGGGAAGACAGTTTTTTATGACTTTAAAATTTGAATGATGATTTTTCAAAATTCAAATCAGTTCTAAACTGTAGGTACGGGAAGAGATGGGTGGGGTGATCAGGGGCGGAAGGGGGGGCGTGTTACAAGTAATACAAGCTTTTAATCTGCTTATCTCACGATTGTGACTGCATAAAATTCTTTTATTAATATTAAAAGAACAAATAGCTATACATACACCATATAACTTATGATGTATGCTGTAATAAAAAAAAAATGTGTTTCCCCCGCCTCAAATTTAATCACTTAACTCTCAGAAATAAATGAAAAAATTTTTGGAGCGATTTTGATCTGGAGTCCCAATTCTAGGAATTGTATGAAATTCCGGTGTTGTACTAGGATATGTATTAAACTAATGGTTTTTGCGAATAAAATACTTTAACATATCAGCCCGCCTCTGGCGGGCAGGGGCATTGGATAAACTCCAATCTGTCATAAATGCAGGTAATTATCCAGAATTAGGGCAATTTTGAAAAATTATCATTGTGGAATAAGACACAAAAATGACCTGCACCACCTAAAATGCAGTGCTGGTAATGAGAGGCCCAAGTAGCTGTAGCCCGCGTAAACCAAAACAGAAACAGATTTTGCGAAGAACAGTAGATTCCGAATTAAACGAATGCAAATTACGAAAGCGAAAGCATTGTATGTACTATATTACGAATTACTTTAGCGATGTTCTTTATATAATATAATAACAAAACTGGAATACAATATTAGTGGATTACTGTGATTTAGCATGCTGTTAATGAAGAATAGATACCATTCTGTAGAATATTGTAGCGTGCTACTTACCTGACGAGTACCTACCTACACAATTGTACATATCACAATTACTTTCAACGACAATCACTTCCAACAATAACAATAAACAACCGTAGTGTAATAACTAATAAGATACTACAAAGCCGATGTGCAAAGTATTATGTGCGATAGCAACAATTACTTTTTAGTCTACATTTGTGAAGCAACCTACATGTAATATGTGATCTACATCCTTATTATATTATTATAATCAGTTCTTCCCCCCTATCAGTCACTATGAGCTCGAAACTGTTAGAACCATTGCTTCGAGTGGTCGAAATTCACTTTTTGTGAACAATTTGTTTAATCACTTTCTTTGTGGTTGAAATTGTTTGAAAAATTAAATTTAAAGGATTTGTTTGTAAATAGGTATGCAACACATCGTACACTTCAGCATAAGAAATTGCTCATACTAACTACGTAATAGATACTACTTTACCCTGTGCTGAGACCACTCATAATTTCTTTTATATATAGTATTGCCTACTAACTTAAGTATTTTTGTCCAAGAAAATTTACGAAGCATCTTTTTGCAATACTAAAAACATGTGCATAAAGCAAGTTAATGTAATAATAAATCTTCCTCGATGCGACCAAACCAAGAATGTTATTACTTAAGTGAATTTAACCATAAGATTTCCCTTAAGAGAATAAAACATATAAGAAACTTTAACCTTATTCATTGTGAGTTTCTAATTACTGCGATATTCGCTTACACAAGTCGTAAATACATTCAGAGATGAAAAATTTTTTCAGAGAAATAAGTACGTTCTTTTTTTATTTTGCAGAAGTAAAAACGTTTTTGAGGAAACAACGACAGTGATGGTTCGGTGACATTGTTCAAAAAGTGCCGGTTCCTCTTTCGGTGAATGGCCAAAAATTTAGCGGGGTGTCATTAAAAAGGTGCCGCGTAAATCAAAAGGAAACTCGACTCGGTTTGGCCCATTTCTAATTGAAAAGGAGAAGGAACGGAGGGCGGTTTCGGGTCGGCTAGTAAAGCATCGGCGTCCGTCGTCGCAACCATTAACCCCCCGACTCTCCCTCTTTCTCTAATTTATGTTCGAGAGAAGCTACGATATTTTTCAGACGGTTA